CGCCGCCCTGCCCCGGGACAGGGCCCTCCGGGGGGGACGGGAGGGGAGCCAGCGGGGCCGGCAGCGAGGAGCCCCCTCCCCTTGGCAAGTTGGGGGGATGCAGGGGGGGCGGTGGCGCGGCAGCAGCAAGGGGTCCCCGGCTGGGGCTGTGCGTGCATCCAGGTGGCCGAGGTGCAAGGCAGGGTGCTGGGGAGCCCTGCGTGGGGTTGCTATTGAGCCGCTCTCGGGGGGACCCGTGGGGCGGCCGGGGTGCCTGGGAGGGCAGGGCAGCCTGCTCGGCTCTCTCACACCTGGTACTGCCAGGCTGTGCCTGCAGACCCCCTGACGTTGTCTTTCCCCCTCCGCAGTGACCCTGCGGGACAGTCACACGTCATGGTGGACTACTACGAAGCGCTGGGGGTGAGCCGCAATGCCACCGCCGAGGACATCAAGAAGGCGTAAGTGGGTGGCAGGCTGGCAGGCCACCGAGCCACCCCCCTGTCCCCGGCGCCAGCGAGGCGGGGGCTCCCTGTGGGCCGGTGGGGACAGGGCCCAGCTCCAGAGGTGACAATCCAGCCTTTGTTTCCTTTGTGCGGAGGCCAGAGCGGGGCCGGGCTTCACTGCCGCACAAAGGCATCCCTTGGTGGGGTTTAGTCCCTTTGTCCCCACTCTCAACCTGGCGCTGGGGACAGAGGCGGGAGGTGGTCCCCTGGGTGTTTGCAGGCGTCCCCTCTCCCTGCCCGAGGGTGCAGGGATGGCAGAGGGCTGGGGCACGAGGGCTCTGCTGGCGTCAGGGTCAGGGGGCTGGAGCTCGTGGGGCGAGGAGCAGCGTGTCCCCCGGCACGGGGACCGGGCCCCACTGGCAGGTCCTGTGCTGCGCCCCGGGCACCGCAGGGGAGTCACGGGGGCGGACGGAGCCTCCTGCCTGGCACCCTGCCCAGGTCTTGCTGCTCTTGCTGGGGAGAGGCATCACCTGGGGGGAGTAGGTGCGGACTGGTGGCTTGCCTGCGGGGACGGAGGTTCCTAAGAATGGTTGAGAGAAGCTGGGCAGCCTGGGTAACCCCAGCTAGCTGTGGGTGGGAGGAAAGGGCTGCTTGTGCTCACCTGGCCCCAGGAGCCCCCCAGCGACCCCTGTCCATGCACACCTACGGTGGAGCCCAGAAAGGCTCCGGAGCAAACCTGTGAGCATTGTCCAGAGCTGCTGGGGCAGACACAGGCTGGGGTCATGCTGCAAATATTTGCTCGGGAGGTGAACCAGTCCAGGAAGCTCCCGCTTGATGCCTGAGGCTGTGGGGCACTGGGTGAAGCGGGCTTGGGGTGCCTCTGCCCGCGGGGTCGGAGGCGTGCGCTCAGAGGGGGGTTGCTGGCGCGAGAGTCCCCGCTACCCAAGGGCTGCTGTGTGCCCATCACTGCCCGTCTGCGCAGGTACAGGAAGGCTGCGCTGAAATGGCACCCGGATAAAAACCCAGACAACAAGGAATATGCTGAGCAGAGGTTCAAGGAGATCGCCGAGGCGTATGAAGTGCTGTCAGACAGTAAGAGGCCATGGTGCTGTCTCCTGTGTCCCCCCCAGCCCTTGGGGGTGCTCACCCTGGGATGTCCTGCTGCTGGGCTCACCCAGGTGGTGTCCCTGGACGTCCCCGGGAGGTAGTAGGGCCCTCCAGCTTTACCGCCCAGCTTGTGGGGTTTGATTACCTCCCCAGGCATCCCCTGAAATGGCTCTTGGGAAAGATGCTGGGGTGCTGGCCTCCGGGATGAGGTCTCCCCAGCGCGGCTGAGGCTTGCGCATCCTCATCCAATGCCCCAACTTGGGTTTGGGAGTGGTGCTGGTGTGGTGGGGGCTCGTGCTGCCCCCCTCCTCTTGCTGTTCTGCACCTCCCTTGGCTGGGGGAAGCGTCAGTGCTCCTGCCCGTGCCGCCGCTCCTGGCCCCGTGCCTGGCAGCCGGCTTCCCCGCAGCCCCCTCTCTTCTTCCAGAGCAGAAGCGCGATGTCTACGACTGTTACGGCAAGGACGGACTCATGGGGGCAGGTGAGTGGGCAAGCGGGGCCACGGGGGGTTAGTGCAGCCCTGGATACGGCCCCATCTGAAGGCTCGGTGTGGGTCTGCACCCGCTGGGGCTCCCTGCCCTTTGGGGGGTTCCCACCTGGGACTCCACTTAACTCTGAGCCTCTTCCCTCCAGCAGGAGCGGGGGGCTCCAGGGCCGATGCCGGGGCCCCCGAATTCACCTTCACCTTCCGCAGTGCTCACGACGTCTTCCGGGAGTTCTTCGGCGGGCGAGACCCCTTCGCCGACTTCTTTGGTGCGTGCGGGGTGGGGGCGGCCGAAGGCCGGCTCTAGGGCACCTCTCTGGCCCCGGGGCAGCTGCTGGGCTCAGGGAGGGGGTGTGTGACTGGTCCAGGGGTGGGTCCCCGTGGCAGTGCCCTGCTTCTGGCTCACCAAGCCGCAGGGGCGATGCTGACGAGGGGGTCCCTGCCTTCCAGATGACATGCTGCCCTTCTCTGAGCTGCGAGGACCTGGTCCACGGCACCACGGGGGAGGCCACTTCTTTTCCCCCTTCCCAGGATCCTCAGGTAGGAGACGCTGCTGGCCCCTACCCTGCAGAGGAGTCCTGGGACACGGCGTCCCCCTGTGCAGGGTCCGTCCCCTGCCTTCCTCCTGCCCCCCACCCCGGCACCGACCTTGTCGCTCCCTTCTCCAGATTTCTTCGCCTCGTCCTTCAGCTCCGGCGCTGACGCAGGGCTGGGCTTCCGCTCCGTCTCCACCTCCACCACCTTCGTTAACGGCAGGCGCATCACCACCAAGCGGTGAGGGCAGTGCCAGCCCACCTCGACCCTGCGGACCCCCCTCATCAGTGGGCCTCGGACCCTGCAGCTTGACACTGCCATGCTCTCGCTGCCTGGCCCTTGACCGTCTGTCTGTCTGTCTGTCTGCAGGATTATTGAAAACGGGCGGGAGCGGGTGGAAGTGGAGGAGGACGGGGAGCTGAAGTCGATCCACATCGATGGTGAGAAGCGGCACTGCAGACCAACTTGTTGGGGTCTGGCGCTGCCATCTCCCAGCCCCCTTTCCCGTTGGGGACCCCTCTCCTCCTGTGGGGTGGCCGGGAGGTGCCGAATCCGGGCTTGGTTTTGGGCTGAGCCCTGCTGGGCCCCGGTCTGGGGCTGTGACGCGGAGGTTTGGTGGGGTAGGCAGGAGGTGCTGGGAGCTGGAGTGGATGTGACCCCTGTCCCCTGCCCCTGTCCCCACAGGCGTCCCTGACGACATGGCGCTGGGGCTGGAGCTGAGCCGGCGGGAGCAACAAGCCTTCCCCAGCCCGCGGCCTCCGCCGGCCCCGGGCCCCCGGCCTCCCCGAGAGGGGGCCCGCGGGGCACCCCCGAGCAGGTGGGCCCGGCCCGGGCCCCCTGCCGGCACCGGGGGGCAGCCCCGGCACCCCGTCCTCTGCCCGTAGAGCCCGCGGTCCCCGGGGGGGGCCGGAGCGGGAGCCGCCGGGGGCCAGCAGCCCTGCCACAGCGGGGCATGAACCTGCCCCCAAAGCGAAGCAGTGGCACTGCCCCCTGCTCTGAGAGTGCGGCTGGGGTTGTGCCCCCTGCCGTGGGGCAGGGAGAGGAAAGGGGGGGTGGGGACTCGCTGCCTGGGGCTCGGCTCCTGCCTCCCCCAGCAAGGGAGGGGGTCTCTCCTGCCCTGCCTCCTTGCTGCTGCTCAGGCGGGTGGGCAGCTAGTGGCACCCCGGGGTGGGGGGGCTGCCAGAGTTGGGGGTCGTGGCTGGAAGAGGGGCCCTTGGTGGGGTCCCGGGAAGAGGGGCAGCTGCCTGCCCTGGCTTCTGGAAGCGCGGGGTGCCCCTGGGCAGGCGTGCCCCGGCTCTGCCTGCTCCTCTCTCCCTGCCTGCCCTGCAGAGGGGCAGGGGCTGCAGCCGGTGCCTCCCTGGCTGCTGCCTGCCCCTGCCCAGGCTGGGGAGTACTGGGTTGGGCTCTCCCTCCTCGCAAGGAGGGGTGCGCATGTGGGCTCTGCTTGGTGCCTTGTGTCTGTCTGTCCCCTCTGGATGCTGTCGCTCCTGCCTGTACCCCCTCCTCCTCTGTCCCCCCCCATCACAGACCCTGCCTGGTCACCCCCTCCCCTACGCCTTGCACACCCTGCAGGGCACTGTCCCTCCCTGCTTCCCGCAGCAGCAGCGACCCTCAGTGATGCTAACAGTTGTTCCCACCCTCGCTATTGCCCATGATCCTGCCTTGGCTCTCTTCCTCCTCCTCCTGGGACCTTCCTCCCTCCCTCCCTGCCCCTCCCCAGCCCTGGGCCAAGGAGGGTTTCACGGGTGCTGTTGTGTCCCCCCCCTCCGCTTGTCTCCCCAGGTGTGTTCTGAGGCTGCTGCACCCGGGGACCGCGCACGCCCGCTCGCCCACGGAGGCTCTCCCAGCCAGGACTCCGCCTTGTCCCTGCAC